GCTTCCTAGGTCGGGATTTCTCTCATGACGACACCTTGGATGTTCCAACCCAAGTGGAGCTGCTCATCAAGCAGGCGACATCCCATGAAAACCTCTGCCAGTGCTACATTGGCTGGTGAGCTTCAGTGGCCTCTATCCCAGCACTGGGGATGCAGGGGAGGCAGATGTCTTCAGGGCCAGGGCAGCCAGAGCTACAGTGGTGAAACGCTGTCTTAAAAATAAACAAGCAGTCAGGACCAAAGACGGTGTGGTGGAGTGGCCATACAGGGCAGTCAGACCTGGCTAGTGTCTCTAGTGTACAAGTTTGTGGCTCTCAGATGCTCCTTCTCTAACAGGAGAAACCTGAGAAATGCACATCTGCATTTGGAAGTTAAAATGGCTTTGAGAGCCATGGTTCAGAGTGGGAAGGGCGCCTGATTGGGCTGTAGGTCTTTTGGATTTTTGTTGTCGCTCCAGAGGTGCAGAAGGGCACAGGAGCCAGGGAGTGACGAGAGAGAATGGCGAGAGGAAAGGTTGAGAATCCTGGAGTGTCTGGGCAGAAATCAGACCTGCTCTCTGCAGGAGGCTAAAGCTTGGAAGACCTCTGATGACGGCCTTTGTTGTCCCCTTTCCTAGGTGTCCCTTCTGGTAACCGGAGCCTGGCAAACCACACCATTTCCTCAGACACTTTTGTACCTTGGTCTGTGCTTCCAGTGGACTGAATCCAAGGGCATAAAGTTGGACTTTGTTAAATATTTTGAACTGTATATGAAAAGAACTACTGTATATTCAAAGTTGGTCTGAACCAACCTCCTAGCTGCTGTTGAAAAGACTGTCAGAAACACAAGGCTTGATTCAGTTCCCAGACAGTGAAACACAGAAATCCTACAGAAACCAAGCCTTCGATTTTGGGGGAAAGATGATGGGTAACTAAAAATACGGGTTTTGACTTGACTTACAAGAGAACTCATCACAAGCATTTCCTGCAGAAAAATATAGTCCATTCTCTCAACCCAGGGACAGTGGACTCTGCACAGTCAGGTATGCCCGCGGCCTGGAGAACACGGACCAGGGGCTCCAACACAGTGATGCAGACTTCAGCACTCCACCCATCCTGTTACCTCACCAGTTCCTGGGCAACAGTGGCAACGTTTGCAGGATGGGCCAAAGTGGGTGAGATCTGTCTTCTGCTTGACCCCATGATGCTGAAGTCACAAGACCTGACCTTCCAGGAGGACAGTTTGCTCAGACACCAGGCCACCACGTGTGAGCAGGTGTGCCACGGATCCCAGTGCAAAGGGGGTGCATCGTCCCTGCTGTGTTGGAAGAGGGATGAGTACATTGTGTTTGGAACAGGGGCTCACAACACAAGTGCTGTCGTGGAGGTGCTGATCACAGAGGGTTAGACACACTAGAACAGGTCGGGAACTCTGAGCAAAGCAAATATCCAACTAAATACACAAAAGTATAAAGTGAAGCCACATCTAGACACCATGTTGTATCTGAGTAATTTTTGTGCCAATAAATGACATCAGAATTTTAAAAACATATATATATATATATATATGACTGGCTCTTATTAGTAATTATTTTATAAATTCTGTCACTGGGGATACAACTCAGTGGTAGGCCACTAGCTAATAGGCAGTGGCCCAAGGTTTGTTTCCCAGCCTCGCACAAAAGAAAAAGGGATCCAGGCAAGGGAGTCTGTATCATTACCTTCCAGAGAGGGCTAGAGAGAAACCTGTCTTGAAAAAACAATTTTTATGGGGCTGGAGAGATGGCTCAGAGGTTAAGAGCACTGGCTGCTCTTCCAGAGGTCCTGAGTTCAATTCCAGCAACCACATGGCGGCTCACAACCATCTATAATGAGATCTGGCGCCCTACTCTGGCATGTGGGCATACATGGAGGCGGAATGTTGTATACATAATAAATAAATAAATCTTAAAAAAAAAAAGAAAGAAAGAAAAGAAAAGAAACGGAGATGGAAGTGTTTCCAGGAGGGACAGGGGCTTTAAGAGCGAGTGTAAGCCCAACCTGGACTGGGTGAGACCCTGTCTCAAACCAACACCAGTGAGCAAATGAAGACAAAGTCCCCATTGGGTGTAGCCTTAGGATAGCAGGCCCGCCTTCCTGGTGAGCCTGAGAGCCCGCAGAAGCTGGGCATTGAAGGCTGGAGGGTAGGAGTGGCTGCACCTGTTCTTGGCAAAGGCTGAACAGAGCGTAAGTTAAGGGGTTGAGTTAGGATTTGAGATGGAAGGGAGTGGCCAAGGTTCTGGGCCACCCAGGAAATCAATGGCATGGAGTGAAGGGTGGTTGTGCGGATCCGGTGCCCAGTACCCGGCACATTCTAAGGGGGCCTTTCCCTCCCTCTGATCCCCTTTGCCTCTCAGGGGGTGATTCATATTTCAGTATATTCCAGCTGAAAAGGGATCCCACTTAGAGCAGGTGGTAAAGCCAGTACATGGAAATTTGATATATTTTGACTAATGCATTTTGAAATTTGAAAACTGCAGACAATTTTATTCAAGATCCATTTTTATACCAACTCATTACTGGGAGAAAAAGGCAAAAGATTTCGGTTTTCCTGTAGACCCAGCCCTGTCACCACCAGGCCCTGCTAAGCAGGCTTGACCTGACCAGGTCAGCCTTGCATGCAGCCACTGCCTGCCTCAACCACGGAGCCCCCGCTGGAAACCTCTTTCTTTAGCAGCCTCTTTCAAGGATCCCTCTGGGGGTTACTAGTCCAATTTAATCTGACCTTCAGCCCCACCTCTGTCGTTCCAACTCCAGCAAACCCCTGGGGCCGGCACTTAAGACAAGTTTTGTGATACAGACAAGGGGGTTACGCAGAGTTTCCACTTCCGTCCTCATCTGCCTGCTCTTTCTCCAGCCTCCTGAGCCCGAAGTCTAAGGAGTGGAAGTAAATAATGGAGCCCGGGGAGGGAGGCTGTCCACGGGGGAGAAGGGTAGAGTCCGAGAGCCGGTGGTGCCGGAAGAGGGTATCTGAGTGAGCAGTGCCCCTAAAGAGCCATCTAGCCTTTCGTTATGGATGACAGAGCCATCTTGTGTGAGTCACACAGTTCTACCATGCTGGGTAAACGGCTGTAGTGTGTTGAGCTTCGTTCTTACTGGCAAAATGAGGACCCAAACACCTTTCTGGTGATTTGGGCAGGCTGTTCACGAAGTGAATGTGACAGTCCCTAGGATACACAGAGATGGTTCAATACATGCTTGAGCCACAATCTCCAAGGCAAAGCTCTTGTCTCCAGCTCGCGGGAGGGGAAGGCACCCAGCAGAAAGGGCTGGCTCTCCAAAAGGCCCTGTAGCTGGGGACTTCATTCGTGCGCATCTTAAGGCTAAAGGCTGTCATACAGCTAAACCTTCTAGAAAGTAACTTGTCAGTGTTCATCAAGGGTACTTGGGCTCAATGAAATTGGTCTAGAGAAAGATCAGGAATTTGGGTAAAGATGTTGATTTCAGTGTTATTTAATTTAACTGACCTTAAATAATTAACAGATAAATTGGCACAGCAATAAATCAAAAGTCCCTGACATATAGAGAGGGTGGTTTCCTTCACCCCAGCCCCGCAGCTTCCCATCAGCCTTGCCTCTCAGGATGCAACAAATATCACCAATTTCTGCCTCTTTTTTGTTTTGTTTTAATCTGAAACAAGATTTCATGTAGCCCATAATGGCCTAGAGCTCTGAGAGTCTTGTCTCCCAAGTACTGGGGAACTTTCTTTTTTCCCCAGCTGTCCTGTAACTCACTCTGTTGACCAGGTTGGCCTTCAACTCAAAGATCCACCTCCCTCTGCCTCCCAAGTGCTGGGATTAAAGGTGTCTGCTACCACTTCCCAGAAAAGGGAACTGGAGTTACAGANTTTTGGTTTTTCGAGACAGGGTTTCTCTGTGGCTTTGGAGCCTGTCCTGGAACTAGCTCTGTAGACCAGGCTGGTCTTGAACTCACAGAGATCCGCCTCCCTCTGCCTCCTGAGTGCTGGGATTAAAGGTGTGCGCCACCATCGCCCGGCTTAAGAAAAAACAATTTTATATGTGTATATGACACGTCATTTTAGTTATATATGTATATATGTGTGTATGTCATTTTTACTTACATATGTATGTATATTATGGCATATGATCAGATGCCCATGTCGACCAGAAGTCATCTGCCCCTGCCAGCTTGAGTTGCAGGTAGTTATAAACCTCAGGACTAGGTGCTGTGGTCCTCTAGAAAAAAAGGAGTGTTCTTAACTACTGAGACCTCTCTTTCTTCCCCACCCAAGTTTTTGTTTTTGGGGTGTGTGTGTGTGTGTGTGTGTGTTTTGAGAAAGGGTTTCTTTGTAGCTTTGGAGTCTGTCTTGGAACTAGCTTTTTTAGACCAGGCTGGCCTCAAACTCATAGAGATCCGCTTGCGTTTGCCTCCCGAGTGCTGGAATTAAAGGCATGCACCACCACCACCCGGCCCCACTCAGTTTTTTGTTGTTGTTTTTTGTTTTTAATTTTAAGTTGGAAAAATCCAGTCCAAGTGTGGTATGCACACCTTTAGTTTCAGGACTTGGGAGGCTGAGGCAGGCCCATCTCTGAGTACCCAGTCCTGAGATTAGAGGCCTGGACCACCATGCCAGCAGAGAAAAACTGTCCTGGAACTAGCTCTGTAGACCAGGCTGGTCTCGAACTCACAGAGATCCGCCTGCCTCTGCCTCCCGAGTGCTGGGATTAAAGGCATGCGCCACCATCGCCCGGCTCGAGAAAAACTATCTTTAACTGTGATTAAAACTGTATTTTCAACCCGGAGGTGGTCTACAGAGTGAGTTCCAGGACAGCCAGGCTCCATAGAGAAACCCTGTCTTGAAAAAACAAACACACACTGTATCCTCCAGTACACACTGTAGAGCACAGGACTGTTAGGATGCTACAGTGTGATTTTCCTGTTGAGAGCCGTGCTCGGTAACTAGGTACAAGCCTGGTGGGGAGGTAGCGGAGAGGCCACCTGTGCGCACGCGCGCTGAGCCCGCCTTGGTCAGCCGGATCAATCTCGCGAGAAGAGCCACCCTAGGACGGAAAGATGGCGCCTCCCAGTCCCCGGGAGCAACAGGCCGCGCCGGCCACCAGCGCGACCAAGCCTGACGAGGAAATGGTGCTGCCTGGCTTCCCCGACGCAGACAGCTTCGTAAAAGTGAGTTTGCGGGCTCTGGGGCACCCCAGGAGCCCCCTGTAATGGCCGGAAACGGGTCTGGGGCTGCGGAGCAGGCCCTCCGGGCTTCCGGCGCCCGCCACGATGGCTTCACGGCGCGCCCCGGGAATAGCGGGAACCGAGCGGGAGCGGAGGGCGCCGCTCTTCCGGTATGAGCGCGTGCCGCTTTGCGTGTAAAGCCGTGTCCGCGCCCTCAGAAGGGCGTCCTTGTCGTCCACGTGGCGCACCCTGCGCCACCTCGGGCCCAGCAGCCCGTGGCGGGAGAGCCTGTGCTGTCCCCACTGTGTACAAACGTCTGTAATGTTGGGTTGAACGTCACTTGTCACAGTTGTCATCGACTCTCTCGAAATGCCAAAGCGCCTTCACCAGTGCTCCTTGAGCATAAAAGGATTCGTGTAATTCTGTGTTCACAAGATTCACAATGCTGTCATTAGACCTTAACATGACAGCCACTATAGACTGGTTTCCGTTACCGCACGACTGGTCGTCTGCAGTGTCTGAACGGTGTGTTGCTGATGGATGTGCATCAAACCCACAGAAATACAGTAGATTATTCTAGAAAGCGTCTGCGTCTGAACTTAGTGATAGCATCCATATGTCAGTCAGTGTTCTAAGTGATTGTAGTAGCTCATTTAATCCTCCCAATAACTACCTTTTACTGTGCCCCATTTTCAGAGGTGTAAACTAAGGTCGGTATGAACAAAAAACTTTCTTCAAATCACAGTTCATAATAAACCTTCATATCAGGAATGGAAACATAACTCAGTTGACAGGGTGGCTGCCTAGTATATGTGAAGCCTGGGGTTTTGTTCTTGACACCACATAAACCGTGTATGGTTTTACACCTGTAATGCCAGCACCCAGGAGGTGGAGGCAAGGTTTTTGTTTTTGTTTTTTATGAATGAATAGAAATCCATGTTTTAAAAGTGTCTTTTCCTCTGAATTTTTCAGTTTGCCCTCGGGTCAGTAGTGGCGGTGACCAAAGCATCTGGGAGCCTGCCACAGTTTGGTGACGAGTATGACTTTTACCGAAGTTTTCCCGCCTTCCAGGCGTTTTGTGAAACCCAAGGAGACAGGTTGCTTCATTGGTAAGTACTGCACGTTATGTTGGCTGGAAACCATGATAAGAAAGACCTCAGTGGTAGGGGCATCATAGGCGTGATGGGGTCCCTGGGTCTGAACCCCAGTACTGACGAACCGAAGGAAGTACTGGCTGAATGGCTGTAACAAGGATGACCGTAAGCAGGGATAACCTTGTGGCCTGTGGTTGCTGGGGCGAACAACAGCTCACTACGGAGCTGGAACTCAGTGTGTACATGAAGCTAGAATTGAATTCTAACAGATCAGTCTTCCTTTGCTTCCTGAGTGTTGAAATCGAAAATGTGAGCCCTCACATCTAGCATGAGCTGTGATTATTAAAGATAAATTAGCCACAGCTGGACCATGGTGGCTCGCACCTTTAATCCCAGTACTCGGGAGTTCGGGGCCAGCCTGGTCTACAGCATGAATTCCAGGACAGCCAGAGTTGTTACACAGAGAGACCCTATCTTAAAAAACAAAACAAAAAAGGGCCACCAGCAAGGTGGCTCAGTGGACTAAAGGCGCCTGCTGCCGAGCCAAATGACCTGAGTGTGATCCCTGAGACTCAGATGTAGAGAGTATAGAATCCGCTCCTTCAGTTTGTCCTCTGGACTGTACGGGTAGGTAGTGAAACACACACATACACACAAAATATCTTTTTTATTATTATTTTTAATTTTAAAAGTCTTTTGCTGGCGGGGAGGGTGGTGGTGGCACACACCTTTAATTCCAGCACTTGGGAGGCAAAGGCAGTCAGAACTCGTCTATAGAATAAGAAGGGCAGCAGTCAAGGCTATACTTTTCTCATCTGTTAATTGTTAAGAGAAATTACCTTGAAGCTGTTTGGTTTTTTTTTTTTTTTATTGAAAAAAGGTCTCACTCATTAAATTGCTCAGGTTGGCTCCTAACTCACTGTGTGGCCCAGGCCTTGAATGTTCAAGCCTCCTACCTCTGCGTTCTAAGAAGCCAGCGAGCGTCACGGGCTTCTTAGACCTGGCTTTGGGTCTTGTCTCTTAAAGGTTGCTGTGAGAATGTTCATTAATTAATTAATTAATGTGGGAACCCTGTAAGACAAGTCATTTGGGGCTGGAGAGATGGCTCAGCGGTTAAGAGCATTGTCTGCTCTTCCAAAGGTCCTGAGTTCAATTCCCAGCTCACAACCATCAGTAATGAGATCTGGTGGCCTCTTCTGGCCTGCAAACATATATCCAGGCAGAACACTATATACATGAATGAATGAATGAATGAATGAATCTTTTTTTTTGTTTCACCACTAGACTACCAGGGAGAATGAATAAATCTTTAAAAAAAAAAAAAAAAGACAAGCTATTTGGTTTTTTTCCGAGATTATAGATTTGTGGAATAAAGGCACACGCGCTGACCTTGGCTTTCCTCCTTTAGCATGAGTAGGGTAATGCAGTACCACGGGTGTCGCAGCAACATTAAAGATCGGAGGACCGTGACTGAATTGGAGGACAAGTTCGATTTACTGGTTGATGCCAACGATGTGATTTTGGAGAGAGTGGTGAGTGTCTCCCCGTCCACATAAGTGAACTAACAAACACAAAGCTCAAATGTTAAAATGCAAGGGGAAACCCCAGCATTACAGAGCATGGTAAGGCATAAGTTTAGCCAGGCCTAGTAGCCATGCCTATAATCTCAGCACTAGGAAAGCAATGACAAGTGGATCTCTGAGTTCTAGGTCAGGCTGGTCTACACAGTAAGACCCTATGACCCTATCTCAATAAGGAAAAAACATTTTATGTATATGGCTGGCCTCAAACTCACTGAGATTCACCTGCCTCGGCCTCCCGAGTGCTGGGATTAAAGGCATACCTCACCACCACCCAGCCTCTCTCTTGTAAATGTATTTATTCAAATGTCAGGCAGTTAAGATCCTAACCCAATGCCTTGTCTCCTCTTAGGGTATATTACTGGATGAAGCATCAGGTGTGAATAAGCACCAACAGCCCGTCCTCCCTGCAGGACTGCAGGTCCCCAAAACAATAGTGTCTAGCTGGAACCGGAAGGTGAGCTCCCAGTTGGGTTTCACGGGCCCACTTTAGTTTTAGTTGTCATTTTAGTTTGCATTTTGCTTGTGGCACACCGCATGCAACAGGGTGCTCCCCGCCTTGAGTGGTCTCCCAAGCACACTCAGCCCGCCTCCTTCTCCATGTGTCACTGGAACCTCACATGCAGTAACATTCCATTTGTCTGGTTGCTGAGTTGGATTCCTTTTCCTGCTTCATCAAGCCATGTTTTAGTTGACTCATATGTGTTGGCCGTAGGCAGGAGAATATGGGAAAAAAGCAAAATCTGAGACTTTCCGACTGCTGCATGCAAAAAACATCCTCCGACCTCAGCTCAGATTTCGGGAGAAGATTGATAATTCCAACACGCCCTTTCTCCCCAAAATCTTTGTCAAGCCCAATGCTCAGAAGCCCCTCCCTCAGGGTAAGTGGTGCGTGCGGTTGCTGCCTGTGAGTCCTTCATTTGACACAGGCATTAGAAGGGAACGGACTTTCCTCCTGCCTTCCGTTCCTGCTCCTACCAAACTGGAAGGCAGAGAAGTGTGTGCTCCTATGTCATGGTGTGTTTGTCGCTGCTTGGCTCTCCAGCTCTCTCAAAAGAAAGGCGGGAACGTCCACAAGATCGTCCTGAGGACCTGGACGTGCCCCCTGCCCTGGCAGATTTCATCCATCAGCAGAGGACCCAGCAGGTTGAACAGGATATGTAAGTGCACGGGGCTGGGCTTTCTCCGTGCCTTTCTGCCCCTTTCAGCCCCTTTGTCTGCAGTCAGTCTTTTCCTTGATTCCGGCTGACCTTGAACTTGGCTTTCTCTTCCTTAGTACCGAGATTACAGGTGTAGGGGCGCCACACCTGGCCCTTCATACCTTTTTTTTTTTTTTTTGAGAGAGAGAGAGAGAGAGAGAGAGAGAGAGAGAAAGAGAGAAAGAGAGAGAGAGAGAGAGAGTTATTCTCCTTTTAGTGATTGTGCTACCCCAGCCTGTGTAATTCCTAAGTTTTCCTTGTTGGGGGTATGGGTGGTAAGACATGGTCTCACATATCCCAGGCTGGCCTCACACTTACTCTGGCCTCACACTGACCCTGAACTTACGACCCTCCTGCCTTCACCTCCCAGACGACGAGATTATAGATGTCTGTCCTTATCCCCAGGTTTATCTGGTACTGAGGCTGTGTTGGACAAGCACCGTAGCAACAGAGCCCCAGCACAGCCGCCATGTTTGTTTACACACATCGTATCTGAGCAGCCGTGTGTCTTGTGAATGATGGAATTCATCTCAGGATTTCTGTTTTATTCACTCAGGTTTGCACATCCTTATCAGTATGAACTCGATCACTTCACTCCGCCTGAGTCAGTGCTTCAGAAGCCGCGGCCACAGGTTAGTGCCCAGCCCCGATTCCAAAGCTGTGAACCTGGGAAGAACGAAGCGTTGGCTAGTTTGGTGCAGTAGCTTTGGGAGGCTGAGGTGTGGGGTCATTCCTCAAGCTTAGAGTTCATCCTATACCTTGTTAATGTTGTATGTAACACTCTCCTTTCTTGGTCCAGTTGTTCAGACCTGTGGAAGAGACACCCTGCCACTTTGTATCCTCCCTGGACCAACTCGTGGAGCTCAACGAGAAGCTCCTGGGTTGTCAGGAGTTTGCAGTGGATCTAGAGGTACCTTGTAATTTTCCTGTGACTTCATCTACTTGCAAAGTCTAAAGTTAGCACTAACTTTAATCCCTTTTGTCTTTACGTTCGGGGACCTGAAACAAGTACTGCACCAGTCCAGGCTGGCCTTGAATACATCCTCTTGCCTTAAAAAAAATTTTTCCGAAAAATTAGTCATGTAATTTCTATAGCTAACTTTAAACAAAAAAAAAAAAAAAGATGAAGGAATATGTACTAACCCTTTCCCCTACACTCCCTCTCTTTGGTTTAGCATCACTCATACAGAAGCTTCCTAGGATTGACCTGCCTGATGCAAATTTCCACCCGGACAGAAGACTTCATCATTGACACCCTAGAGCTTCGAAGTGACATGTACATTCTCAACGAGAGCCTCACAGACCCGGCCATCGTTAAGGTCAGCCATCCTGCCCCCTGCCCAAGGTGGGAAAATGCAGTGCTTTCCAGTCTACCATCTTGTTCTTTCCACCTAGACCCGTGGACAGAAAAAGCCATGTCATCTCCTATCCCGAGGTTCTACGTACCTAACTGCTTAGTTCTAGGCCCCAAAAGGGCCTTTACCACGTAGCTTATTGCTATCCGGAGACATAAATCATGGTAGTGAGTTTCGCTGAGCCCAGTCAATTGGATTGCTTGAACTTAAGGACACACCTGGAGCTAATAGGGCTCCTAACCCATACCATGGTTCAAAACAGTTGCAGCCCTTAACAGCATACGGTTATAAGCACAAAAGATGCCCGTGGCCTAAGTTTTTAAAAAGTGCTGCTTAAACCGGGTGGTAGTGGTGCACGTCTTCAATCCCAGCACTCGGGAGGCAGAGGCAGGCGGGTCTTTGTGGTTTCGAGGCCAACCTGGTCTACAGAGTGAGTTATAGCCAGAGCTACACAGAGAAACCCTGTCTGGGGAGAAAAAAAATAAAACAAGACAAAACTACACACACTGGGTTGAGGATATAATTCAGTGATAGGATGCTTGCCTAGCAGTCCCAGGGTTCCGTTCCTACTAGTGTTCTGATAGCCCAGAGGCAGAGTCAAGTAAGGAGACAGATGAATAGCCTGGTGCTGCTGTGAATTGCATGGTCTTGATTTTGTTTCCAGGTCTTCCATGGTGCTGACTCTGACATAGAGTGGCTACAGAAAGACTTCGGGCTCTATGTGGTGAACATGTTTGACACACACCAGGCAGCACGGCTTCTCAACCTGGCTCGTCACTCACTTGACCATCTGCTGAGACTGTACTGTGGTGTGGAGTCAAACAAGCAGTATCAGCTGGCAGATTGGAGGATACGGTCAGTCGGCTGGTGGTGGGTGGAGATGTGTGAGTGTGGGAAAGAATCTGTTAAATTGGAAATTAGTGCCAGGCACACCTTTAATTAAGGTGATGCACACCTTTAATCCCAGCACTCGGGAGGCAGAGGCAGGTGACTTGTGTTTAAGAACAGCCAGGGCTACACAGAGAAACCCTGTCTTGAAAGAAACATTATCAAACCCTTTACCCTCCTCCCAACACTACATCCCCAGGTGCTACGGGGACGACATCTTGGTCATGCTTACAGCAGTCTTAAGTGCATGTTCCCTTTCCATAGCTGAGGTAAGAAAGCACAGAGAGGGTAAGGACAGACAGGTGGAGCTGCAAGTCACCCCAGCACCATAGCACCCCAGTTTTAACCTTAGCATCCCTCTTTCTCACCGCACCAAGTTAAATGATGGTGTGTCATACCGAGTTGCGGTGAGTGTCTGTGTAGCATAGTATTGGGAAGGAATCTTTGGAGTGAGAAGAGAGCCAAAAGTTTTTTCACACAGCACAAAGGTGGCTTGGATGACTGTCCCTGACTGGGACAGTCATGGAAGCTATGTCTCTTGCAACTCTAGCCCTCTGCCAGAGGAAATGCTGACCTACGCCCGGGATGACACCCATTACCTGCTTTACATCTATGACCGTATGAGGCTGGAGCTGTGGGAGAGAGGCAACGACCAGCCTGTCCAGTTGCAGGTGGTGTGGCAGCGGAGCAGGGACATATGCCTCAAGGTACCATGTCCCCACAGCTATACAGACGCCCAGCACGCTGTTGCTGTTTTGGACTGAGTTCTGCTTATTTCATTTTTTAATGGCTCTTGGGGCAGAGAGATGGCTCATTGGTAAAACATACTGTCTGCTTTTCTGGAAGATCAGGGTTCAAATCCCAGCACCCACATGGCAGCTCAAATTGTCTGTAGCTCCAGTTCCAGGGGATCTGACTCCCTCACACAAACATATATGCAAACAAAACACCAGTGCACACATACAAAAAGAAAGCCTGACGGTGGTGGCACATATCTTTAATCCTAGCACTTGAGAGGCAGGAGGCTCTCCTCCGATTTAGGGGCAAGCCTGGTCCACATCGAGAGTTCCAGAACAGCCAGCACTACATAGAGAAACCCTGTCTCAAAAAATCACCCCCCCCCCAAATTGGTTCTTATGATGGTTTTCATACGTCCTTGTCATCCTTTTTCTTCATCCTCTTCTCCTGTCCTTAATTACCCAATTACCCATCTGACCTTCTGACTCTTGCTGCTCGGCTCCCCACCCCTACCCACCAATGACTTCTGCTTTCTTTCTTTTGGTTTTTCAAGCCAGAGTTTCTCTAGCTTTGGAGCCTGTCCTGGAAATTGCTGTGTCAACTAGGCTGGCCTCGAACTCACAGAGATCTGCTGCCAATAGCTGGGATTAAAGGCGTGTGCCACCACTGTCCTGTGACTCCCGATTTCATGGCGTGCATCTTCTATTACTGTGTATTTCCCTTCCCCCCTCAAGATCTCTTTCTCCCCTCTGATGGTCACTTCTGCTCTGATGATCTACACACGCTTTGTAAGTCTAGGTTCCTGTATCCGGGAAAGCTCTCAGGACTCATCCAGAATCTGGCTTGTGTTAACATGATGATCTCAGATTCCATCTGTAATCCCATAGGTGTCACAATTTTATTTTCCTTTATAGCTGAATAAAATTTCATTCTGAGGCAGAGACAGAGGATGGTTCAGTGTGAACACCAGAACCCCATTTAAAAATCAAAACAAGACAAATAAAAATAAGTAGTCCTGGGTGTGGTGGTGCATGCCTTTAATCCCATTAATCCCATTACACTAAAGGCAGAGGCAAATAGATTGCTACGAGTTCAAAGCCAACCTGGTCCACAGTGAATTCCAGAACAGGCAGGACTTCATAGTGAGACCCTCTCTCAGGGTTAGGGATAGGAGGGAGCACCTGTTGCTCTGCCAGAGAATCTTGGTTCAGTTTCCAGCACCCAAATGGTATAGGACCTCTATGGGTGCTAGTTACATACGTGATACACAGACATACAGGCAAAATACTCAAACACATATAAGAAAAAATTGCATTTTCTGAATGGAAAAGACTCTTAAGCACCTTTTCAAATGCTTACTAGCTATTTTTGTTTCTTTTGAGAATTTTTTCAGTTCACTGGCCTGTTTGCTGATGGAATGATGTGGGTTTTTGGTGTTTCAATTTTTCAGTTCCTTAGAAGTACAGAATGCTCATGACCTGGGCATCACCCATATGCAGAAGCCATCTGAGCCTTTGTTTTGTGACAATGTCAGTCACGTGTGTGTTGCCACCACAAGCATGCTCACTTTGCATTTTGGTTTGGTTTGGTTTCCTTGCATTCTGAGAATTCAGTCCAGAACCTCACACGCAATAGGCAAGCACTCCCTCACTGAGCTCTATATCCAGCCTTTGTTTCAGGTGATTTGTTGGTTTTTTGTTTTGTTTTGTGTTTTTCGGGCAGGGTTTCTCTGTGTAACAGTTCTGACTGCCCTGGAACTCATTCTGTAGACCAGGCTGACTTCGAACTCACATAGAGATCTGCCTGTTTATGCCTCCTGAGTGTTGGGATTAAAGTCTCATGCACTACCACTGCCCAGCTTGTTTCAATTTTTTAAGACAAGGTCTCATCAGGAAACCCAGCCCAGCCTCTCGCTTGTTGCCCTCCTGTGTTAGCTCCCCAAACCTAGCTCCACATTTACCTATGTGGAGCATAGTGCAAGAGCCAAACATTTTAGAGAGCCCAGGGCACAGTTGGTTTTTCGAGACAGGGTTTCTCTGTGGCTTTGGAGCCTGTCCTGGAACTAGCTCTTGTAGACCAGGCTGGTCTCGAACTTACAGAGATCCGCCTGCCTCTGCCGGGGCACAGTTTTTTATCCCACTGATGTCTTTCCTTTTTCCAGTGCTGAGGATCAAGCCAGGGCTTCATGTGCATTGGGCAAGTGTTCCACCACTGAGCCTTTCCCTATGCTCATTGATTGTGAATGTTCTTTAACATTTTGCAGAAATTTGTCAAGCCTATCTTTACGGACGAGTCCTACCTTGAGCTGTATCGAAAGCAGAAAAAGCATTTGAATTCACAGCAGCTGGCGGCCTTTCAGCTGCTGTTTTCCTGGAGGGATAAAACAGCCCGCAGGGAGGATGAGAGCTACGGGTGAGGATGTGGGGTTTCTTTAATGCTTATGGGCCCAGCGGGATTGGTTGTAGAGTCTGGCTACCGTCTCCTTCATTATAGTGTTTAGTGAGCTTACTAGTTGAACGTAATGTGAGCCCATTGTGTTTTCTTCCAGATATGTTCTACCCAATCACATGATGCTAAAGATAGCCGAGGAACTGCCTAAGTAAGTCTCAGAGCTGAGTAACACGCTCTCTCTTCTCAGTCACTCTCAGTCCTTCATAGCCGGGCATTCTGATTGCTGCTGCTTGAGGCTGTACTCAGAGGTTAGTAGCCCAAACTTGGAAGGGAGCCACAGTCCTTGCCTGAGGGCTCCTGGATAAGAACTAAACTTCTGAACTGGTGTATCTCATGGCTAGTGCCAAGCCTGCTGCAGTCCCTTTGAGGAAACTGTCCCACATATGTCTTGTGTCTTTCTCTAAATTAAAGCCTCAAAACTTTTAAGCATTGTGTTTTATTAATTGGACTATAAACAGGAATAAGAAGTTAGAAACCAGTTTTTCTTGAGGCTTGTCTCCAGCTCTTGCGGTTTGTAAGACAACTAGAGAAGTGGGCTAAGAGTTGGTGCAGTGAAGATCGCATGAGCAGGTGGCTGGCCTGGACTGATTTGTGTAATCGTTTAGAACTTCTGTGGCCTTTTTTTGAGGGTTAGGGGGCTAGGCTGAGGGGTCCTCACTCCATGAGCAAGATTGGCCTCACTACATTGAACTTGTTATCCTCCTACTTCTGTGTCACAAATGCTGCGCTTGCAGACTGTACCACCGTTCTTGGTGATGGTGTGCTGGGGTTGGAGCCCGAGATTCGAGCGTGCCAAGCAAGCGCTCTGCTACCCAAGCTCCAGCCCATTCATTGCTGTCAGGAAACCTTGAAGGCTGTGTTTCCGTGGTGAGCTGAGTTTCTGTCCTTGTTTTCAGGGAACCTCAAGGCATCATAGCTTGCTGCAACCCGGTCCCACCTCTTGTTCGGCAGCAGATCAATGAGATGCATCTCTTAATCCAGCAGGCTCGAGAGATGCCCCTGCTCAAGGTATGCGGTGTCTCACCCAGCAGGCCTCTTCTTCAGCACTTTCCTCCTGTGGCCTCCTAAAGCCCTGAGCTGCTCTCCTCTTCTCAACTGCCCTGAGGAGTAATGACAGCTGGGAAGCTACTGGGTGTGCCTGTTAGATGTAGCTGTGCTCGTTTTGGGGCTTGGGGTTTTGAGGTGTGGCTCTATTTTTTGATGATAGGGTTCAAGCTCAGGGCTTCCTCATGCTACACAAGTACTCTTCTGATGAATTATTGACCGAGCCCATGAAATTTTTTTTTTAATTATATATTTTGTTTTTTTGAGACAAGGTTTCTCTATTTAACAGTTCTGGCTGTTGTGGAATGCACTTTGTAAACCAGGCTGGCTTAGAACTCACAGATATCCACCTGGTTCTGTCTCCTGATTCTGGGATTAAAGGCATGTGCCACCAACACCCGGCTTTAATTTTTTATGTATCTCTGTTTATGCATGTCGGCACGTGTATACCACAATATGCTTGTCTAGACCAGATTACACACTTGCAGGAGTCAGTTCTTTCCTTTTACTGCATGGTTCCTGGGGATCAAACTCAGGTTGTCAAACTTGGCAGCAAGAGCCCTCGCAACAAGCAACTGCATTTTTTTATGACAGTCATAAACTAAGCCTTATCCTTTATATTTTATGGCCTTTTGATAATTTGATAGCAATTTGGGCCATTTAATGGTTATGATAAAGCAGTTAAGTGGGTAGAAGAGTTGGAATAGGGGTCCTGGTGTCGAGAGCTGGTGGTGGAAACCCAAACTGAAGCCTGAGTGCACGTGTTTGAACCTTTATGGAGAGGACTGGCGGGGAAGGCTCCTGGTATTTATTTGCAGGTGGTCTGGAAGTGCTTCCCATTATTGCTGAGCCTAAGGACTGGAGGAACCCTCCACCTGGATTAGATTTGCTGATAGTGGGAGCAGGATCCAGGACCACAAACTCTGAAGTCAAAGAGGGGAAGGAGGAAAGTGAGGGGAGAATGGGAATTCAGAAAAATCAATTTTCGTGAAGGAAATACTGAAGTGTTATAAACGTGATGGAAGTGAGACCTCCCACAGGAAATAGGCATAGCTGCGCATGCAGAACACACCTGTAACCCCAGCGCTTGGATGCCGAGGCGGGAGGGTCAGGAGTGCAAGGTCATCCTCAGCTACCTAATGAGTGTGAGGCTAGCCTGAGCTTTATGAGACCCTGTCTCCAAAAAGGAAAAAAAAAAAAAAAAAAAAAAACCCTATCACCAAGCGATGATGGCACATGCCTTTGATTCCAGCACTTGGGAGGCAGATACAGATGGATCTCCCAAGTTTGAGGACAGCCTAATCTACAGAGTGAGGTCCAGGACATCTAGGGCTACACAAAAAAACCCTGTCTCTAAAAGACAAAAGAAAAAACAACTGTCAAAATAATATGGTAAAGGCACTTGCCACCGGTGTGATGCCCTGAGCTCAACCCCTTACCACTGAAGGGAAGAATCAGCACCTTTAAGTTACCCTCCAGCCTGTTGGCCGTGCTTGAATGAATGAGTAAATGAGTGAATGGATGTAATAAAAAGAAGAAATACAGACATGTACTTTGTGGGAATGTCTGCTCTCTATGTAGGCAATAAAACTTGTTAAAATTCAGCTTACATGGTTTTTTGGGGGCTTTTGCTCTAATTCTTGCCCTTCCTTTTGAAATAGAGTTTTCCCATACAATCTTTTTTAGGTCAACCTTGATCAACTGTGTGACCCTGTAGCCCAGGCAGGCCAGGTACTTTTAGTCCCCTGCCTCAGCCTCCCAAATAAATAGGATTAGATTTGCATCACCACATCCACCTTTCTTAGGATAACTTTGAATGTGCTGACTTGGTAGTGATATAAATATGTGATTCATACGTTGAAAGATTATTGACCAAACAGTCTTAAAATGAAAGACTGCATGACAGTCTGCAGTTGTCATGTTAAGATAACCTTCTGCAGTGGTGGCACACGTCTTTAATCTCAGCACCAGGGAGCCAGAGGCAGGTGGATCTCTGTGAGGTCGAGCCCAGCCTGGTCTGCAGAGCGAGTTCCAAGACAGCCAGGGCTACACAGAGAAACCTTGTCTCATAGGGTTTGGGTTGGGGAATATTCTCCTGAGACCGGTAACAGCTCAGAGGTAGGTAGGGTGTTTGCCGCTCATGTGTGAGGCCCTGGGTATCCCAGCACCACATAATGCACACACAAAGGCTTCCTTAGTTTTGTGGTTTGTATAAGTAGAAAGCATGCTGGCTGCCTTGAGAAAACGCCAGGCCCTCTGAGCCATCGTATAGTGCCACCTCCTGACAGAAACTCATCTTCCACGTCCTTGTCCTGCCTGAGCACATCATAGTGTCAGTGCCCGCGCTGAAAGGAGGGAGGGATGCAAGGTCTCCTCCTGGCCCTAGGAGGCGGTCTGCTGAGTAAGCATGTGTTAACTTTACACAGCTTTCCTCAGTTTCTTTTTTTGTTTGTTTGTTTGTTTTTTGAGACAGAGTTTCAAGTAACCCAGGATGGCCTTAACTTCTGGTCCTCCTGCTCCCACCTCTGGAGTACCGGAACTATAGGCATGTGCAGTCACACCCACTGGGGAGTCAGACCCAGGGCTTCCAGCATGCTAGGCAAACACTCTACCAACTGAACTACATCTCCGGCCCTACTCTTCTTTCCTCCTTAGTCTGAAACTGCAGCTGGAGTGAAGAAGAGCGGACCACTGCCTAGCGCCGAGGTACAGTGTCACGGCTGCTGTCTCACCTATGGGAGGGGTGGAGACCACAGTCCCTGACAGGTCAGTGCTGTCCCACTGGCCAGGAGCTCCTGGCTGACTTCTGAATTTTACATGTGGTCTGCTGATTTCTCTTTGATGCAGAGATTGGAGAATGAGCTCTTTGGACCCCATGACTGTTCCCACGCCCCTCCAGATAACTACTCGATCACCCCAACTGATGGTAAGATGGAGGCCCTCTGAATTTCCAGAGAGTTGTAGGAAGTTTTCTGGGCCCAGACCTCCACATGTCTAGATCTTGCCGACTTCCGTGTCTCTAGGGTCTGTGCCACTTCAGAAACAGCCAAGCCTCTTTGCTGAGGGCGAAGAAGAGATCTCTGTGGATGCCAGGTGCCTTTTTGCTACAGCCGTCATCACTATCTTTAGTGTGAGTAGCAAGAAAATTCACCAGGGGAACTCAGGGTCCTGGGGTTGGGTGCTCTTAGCACATGGGCTGTCTGCCTGGAGGTGGTGTGCATGTCCTTCTGAGACCAGTGCCAGAAGGAAAGCTAGAGAGAGGTGTGGATCAGTGTGGGGGGGGGTATCTCCTGAGCACTGGGTGTGAGGAAACCCTGGAGGAGGGACTAAAACCATAGCTCAGAGGTTATGTGCACCCCATGACGGCTTACTGCCATCTGTAATTACAGTTTCAGAAGAGCTGACGCTTTCTTCTGACCTGTGTGGGCACTCGGCACACACACAGTACACATAAATATACACACAGGTAAAACACTCATAAATAAGTCTCTTTAAAAAAAAACGGCAATGATAGCATAGGACTTTAATGCCAGCACACAGGCTTCAAGGGAAAGTACCTGATAAGGAGACACTGGGTTGACTTGACGGACAGGAGCAGGTCCAACTATGGCAAAGGACCACATCACCTGGATGACCAGCAGGGCTCAACAGACCACTCGCTCTCATGAACTTGGAGCGTGTGCCATGTACACCCTCCTGCATGTGCTTTCAGGGGAGACAAAGAAAGGCCCTAGAAACACAGTTTCTGTACTATAGCTTACTAGAAGAAATATCAGCAGCCAGCCTATGTGGCTTGCCCAGCAGAGGCATTCCTGGAACATGGCTGTGATATAGCCTCTCCATCTGTTATCGCTGGGCTGCGTATTTCTGCCTGTGATAGCAACTCTAGGTTCCCTGAGACAGCCAGGCCCAAAGGACTTGCTATGCAAGTGTGAGGATTACAGTGTGGATTCCCAGAAACCAAAAGCCAGACGCTGTAACAGACCTCTGCAACCCCATTGTACCTGAAACCAAAAACCAGATGCTGTAACAGACCTCTGCAATCCCACTGTACCTATGGTGAGATGGGAAGTGGCTCATGGGCCAAGTAGCCTGGCAGTCACAGTGGTGAACAAGAGGTTGTCCTTTGACCTCTGCACAATACACATACATGTGTTTTAAAAAGTCCTGAATGAGCCAGGTGGTGGTGGCTGGTGGCGCATGCCTTTAATCCAAGCACTCTGGAGGCAGAGGCAGGCGGATCTCTGTGAGTTCAAGGCCAGCCTGGTCTACAAGAGCTAGTTCCAGGACAGGAACCAAAAACTAAGGAGAAACCCTGTCTTGAAAAATCCAAAAAAAAAAAGTCTTGAATGAGCCAGGCCAACACCTTTAATCCCTAGCACTTGGAAGGCAGAGGCAGGTAGATCTCTGAGTTCAAGGCCAGCCTGATCTTCAAAATGAGTTGGAGGATAGCCAAGGTCACACAGAAACAGATCTCAAATAAATAAATGTTTTAAGTTCAGGTGATTTTTTTTTTTAAGGATATCCAGGTTTAATGGGATTCCTGTGCAGTTCATTTTATTTTTTTTTTTAGAGATTTATTATGTATACAACATTCTGCCTCCATGTGTGCCCGCACGCCAGAAGAGGGCGCCAGATTTCAGTACAGATGGTTGTGAGCCACCATGTGGTTGATGGGAATTGAACTCAGGGCCTCTGGAAGAGCAGCCAGTGCTCTTAACCTCTGAGCCAACTCTCCAGCCCCTCCCCCCTCCGAGGTGATTCATGAAGAAGGTCTAGGAGTCACAGCAGCTGGCAGAAGCTGTCACATTTCAGCAACTAAATATGTGAAGCCTCCTTTCATTTTTCTTTTTAATCAGGATCTCGTTCTGTAACCCAGTCTGGCCTTAGACTTGCAGTTTACACTGGTTGCCCTTGCGGAGGACCTGGGTTTGATTCCCAGACCCAATGGCAGCGCACAACCATTTATACCTCCAGTTCCAGGGGATCCAACACCTCCTTCTGATCTCCATCAGCCTCAGGCACACATGGGATACACATACATACATACATGCAAACAAAATGCTCATGCACATAAAATTTTTAAAAATCACTTGTGTTTCTCCTATTTCAACTTTCCAGGGTGTGGTTTGCAGGCCCTGCTCCTAGCTAGTTTTTTGTGAACTTGAGGCTTCATTGACATGAGAATCTGTTAGTTGGAAGAAGACTACTATCTCTATAGAGTTTCTGAATCCAGTTGAAAACATTCTGTTGTATGTGCTCATTGGCTCCCTGTCAAGATCTATAATACTACATCTCATATTTCATGTATCAGACCTGTGTTTTTATTCCTGCTTTTCCCCTCTTAGTGACAGGGCTCTTCAAGAGCAGAAGATGGTGAAAATACCACAGACCTTGTAGGCTATGAAGGCAATATGAGTTCATTAAACTTGCTGGTATATCAACTCACGCCTTTAATCCCAGAAACAGGTGGAGCCCTCTGAGTGTGAAGCCATCCTAGTCTACACAGCTCAAAAAGACAAAGAATTGGGGATGAAGAGATGGCTCAGTGGTTAAGAGCATTGCCTGCCCTTCCAAAGGTCCTGAGTTCAATTCCCAGCAACCACATGGTGGCTCACAACCATCTGTAATGAGGTCTGGTGCCCTCTTCTGGCCTACAGAGATACACACAGATAAAATATTGTATACATAATAAGTAAATATTTAAAAAAAAAAAAAAAGAATTTATCAGTTCAGGAACTTAATCTTCCCTGTTGTGGTCCCAAGAAGGT